GTTGTAGTTATGTTTTGTTTTTCTACTATAAGGGTGGCTGGTGGCTGCAATGTAGAGGAGAGGCTAAGAGCTAGGGTTAGAGTTAGGGTTTGTAGCTAGGGCGAACAACTAGGGTTTTGGCTTTGATACCAACTTGATGTATTTGTGAGTAAAAAGGGATACTTAAACTAAGAGTAGAGCCCCGTATATATAACCAAATAATAGTACAAAGTGACATAAACATCCTTGTGGTCCAGACAAAATATGAAAGTCATAGTAAAAGGTAAAAAAAAAAGGAAAAAGAAACCCTAATAAACTAGACTATACTCCAACAGGAACAACACTGCACTAATACTCTAGCACTTCATGGTAATCTCATTAAAAAGTAATACATATATGAATATGCAACCGTATCAAGAAGGTAAATACCTCAATTTTAGTTGTTCTCATATTTTTCTTAGAAGCAAAAGTCACAACACTGCCTACTATTAATACTAGAGCTATTGCTCCCAAAAACTTTTGAGTTCATATTCTTCAACATCATTTTAATAATAAATGAGAAACACGATATGCCACTTCATAATAAGTATATGCAAACAATTTTTGAATACAACGTATGCAGCAAAAGGGTCCTCAAAGGTATTAAACTCTGCATATGGATTGCTGTAGTCTAGAAACAGATTCCCCCAGTTACCACATTACTCTAGATGAGAAGAGAAGTTGGCGTTCTTTGGGCAGTTTGCCTAATAGCACCCCCCATGGCATATTTGTGATTGATACTTTCCTTAAGATGAGGATTATTCAAAAGAAAGATCGTGGCATTGCTGTTAGCCCCCATAAGGAACAAAACTATAGGACCCCCTTGAAATGGCATCAATCATCACAAGGAAAACTAATGTAAATCATACTAAATGAACCCCCCTGCATAATGAATAAAATCATTCAAGAAAAATTTTGGATTTACTAGTGGATTTCAAGTTTGTCTCGGCCTATTTATTTATCAAATAACTCAACCACATACCAATCTAATGTCCATTCCACAACATTCTAAAAACTAATTATTGAAAAGAACAATCTTCACATTCCTAATAACTCTCATAGTTTTTTTTTGTCACAAATTTATCCTACTTTTTCAGTAGCTTTTTTGACTATTTCCTCTTAAATAACACCTAAATACGTAGTTTATATCGCAGTCACAAGTTTAAAAAGTATGTGATTGGAACAATTATTTGTTATAAATTAAAAAAGAAAAAAAAGTAAAGTTCATGCCAAGTGCAAACTAGAGAGTGTGTAATAGTAACGCCTACTCAAGCTCTATCTAAACATCTACCCAAATAATAGGACAGTGGATAAGTTTCCAGATGTATAAACATTTTACTGAGTGAAGGACAACGAGTTTAGAATTGACGATCTTAAAGTCCAATAAGAGGAGTGGTGGTCATTAGACCAACCCCTAACCTCTATTTTAACAGATTCTAAGGTTGAAAATATAAATTTGAATCAGCGAAGGCAGTTTACATACATACACACACACACACACACACACACACACACACACATATATATATAGGGTACCTATGGAAGAATGCCTCTACGTAAGCTGTTGGAATTTGAGTATGGTGTACCAAAATAGGTATGTTGTATCGAACCACGTTATATTTTTGTGTCATATTTATTTATTGCTTTTCTACCTTTGAATTTTTATCTTCCAACAAGTATTATTTGTGTTAAATATCTGATGTGCAAAACCAACATAAGCCATAATTTGTGTCAACGTCTAAACTACCTTTGGAGTCCAATGGAATTGCTTGTCTGTATCTACAGCCAACAACAGTTAAAATGTCCTGCAAATAGAATAAGGCTTCACCATGTCGTTTCAAGTCTCCGTGTGTGCTTTAAAAATGACATTTTATATAGGAAAAATCTAATTACAATATCGAAAGTTATAATTTTTTATGGTAAAGTTATATCTGTAAAAGAAAAAATTACAAATGCTCAAGGGAAAGTTATCATGGATTTTCTTTAGACAGTTGTAACTTCTCTCTTATGAATTATAACTTCACATTTAAAAGTTGTAACTTTCAATATTGATAGCAACTTTCCATAATCGATCATACCTTTTATAAGTTGTAACTTACACCTATAAAAAATTATAGCTTGATGATGTGTAAAATAGCTTGATGATGTGTAAAACGCGATTGAGCGTGATAGGTATTCTACGGGATTTGATTTGAGCTACAAGGCTCTTGTGAATAACGTGACAACTTTAGGGGAATGGGGTAGATTGCGTAGATGAGTTATTGTGGTTCATCAGCCCAGGAGCTCGGGGAGTCTCTTGCTCCTAGATATTATATTGAAGATGATGATGGGATGACACAGTCTTCTTGGTATTATATCGATTCCTTTTTCCATAGTGAGGACTTTATACAATATTTATAGCTTAGTTCCTAGTTCCATGGGGTCTGGGGTGAGATCTTCGCCTCCCTCTTGTAACACTTTGCTTGATTTCAGGCGATGGTTTAGGCGGTTGAGGTTCTTGTTCCTAGACTGCCATTTATTGTCGTTGAGGGGGCGTTTAGTGGTTGTCAGCCGTTTTCCACTCATTTTCCTTAAGGCGTAGGTCGAGGGAGCCCAAGGTCTGGACCTTTGAGCTTGGTCTTTCTTGGCTGAGCTCCCTTCCTAACCTCAATACCTAAGCTTAGACTTGGAATTGTTCTAGGTATCATCAGTTGCCCCTTAGTCCCTTGTCAAAGTGGGATTGAGCAGTGGTTGGATAAAGTTAGGTTTCCATAGGTCGATCTCGATTTATGCGTGATGGGACTCCATTCTAATGGCTTTGTCGAACGTGCAATCATTCCTTCCTATTTTCTCGCACACGTCCCATATTTCGAAGACCCAAGTACACTAAGCTTTAAATGCTCCCACGACGAGGGAAACCGTCTCACTTCACCTTTTGACTTCTCCCCCCAGGCTTTGCTCTTTCTCTTCCCTTGTAATTTTAGTTTCCTTAATCTGCTGGAGATCTTAGGGATTCGCTAAAAAACATATTCCCCCAATTTGACTCGAAGATTCTGCAAGGTTTGCTCTCCGATTTCCTTTTGGGCTCCAGTTTATCACTCACTCTTGGTTAGGTACGCTTCTTGGCTTTGTTCATTTCTTCGCTCTAGATCCCTCGAATCCGAGGTGGTTGCTATATTTTTGGACCTTTTTCTTTTGCTACTTTAGGAATCGAGGCTACTCCTTTTCCTCTTTTCCCCTCTTCTTGGACCCTTATTCCATTACTAGAGTCTTCCTCATTGGTCGCTGGTGTCTTAACCTCTCGACTCTCACGGATTGTTTTGCTAACGTCTCATTTACTTATTCCTCCTTTTATCTTCATTTTTCCAATCCTGTCATGTCTGGCTCTTTCAAAGCTACTGCTTCATCAGTCTCTCTTGCCAAGGACGAGAGGTCTGCTAGGGAGGAGAACATCGATTTAGGTGATGTAGGCGATGAGATTGATAATTTTCTCAGTGTCTATTCTGTCGATGCTGGGAAAGAATCCAAGGAGCTCCCCCATCATCTTCCCCTATGCCCAAGAAGTCTAGGAAAGAAAAAACCAAAGTGAGTGGTGTTGGGGTTTCTTATAGCATTGGGGGTGCAGTGGTTGCTCCCAAAGCCTCAGATGTCGTGGATTTTAGTGAGGTCACATCCCTTTTCATGAGTGTTTTATCTGCCTGTTATGTCTTTCCTCAAGGAATGCACTATTTAGTGAGGTCACACCTCTAAAGTGCTTACCAAACTTGAGTTTACTCTTCCAGAGGTGAGGATTGAGACCCTTATTCATATTTCTGTAGCTGGTGTAGAAGGACTCACAAGTTGGTATTCTTTCTTTTCCCTCTGGCTTTTCTCTCCTTTATTTTTTGCTCTTACTTACCTGCACACTGTGGTTTTCCAAGTTCTAGCTCGATGGCTCCAGATGTTGAAGTATTGAAGGCGAAGGTTGCCTTGCTGAGGAAGACCATGAGTGGGGAAAAACGCAAGGCCGAGGTCAGATTAGGAAGTGATTTTGCCCCCAAGCCAAGGTGCCAAGGTCAAAAGTGCCTCCGGCTTCTCCCCTTTCTTCCCAAGTGATTCTTGCTCCACCGTAGAGCTCACCAAAGGTCGCACAGACCTTCATTCCTCAAAGGACAGTGCTTTCCTCTCCTGAAGGGGTCTCGAACAAATCATAGTTTCAGCCTCATCGACAGAGGTTGAGGGGGCCATGGAGACGATGGCTCGCATTCTGCCTAAGTCTTCCTCTCCTAGATTGGTTGAAAAGTCTCATCAGCTGCTTCTAAGGAGCTCTAAGGTTGAGAAAGATGAGGGCTTCCTTATTGATAATGTGAAACTTGATGCAGAGGTTATTGCCTCAATCATCCCTGAGTCTAATATCCAAAGGGCTGCCATTATGCCATTCTCCACTTCTGTCACCACGGCTTTGTACGGTGCTACTTTGGTAAGTTTCTGGTTCTTTGAAGTTCCATTTTTGTCTTACGTCGTTACTTCGTGCTGACTTTAGCTTTTGGTTGTATTTGCTCCTAGCTAGCCATTTATGTGAGTGCTTTGGTGAGTCGGATCAGAGTTCTGGAGAGCTCAACCAAGGTGTCAAAGGTCTTTGAACTCAAGGTTGTCGAGCTGGCTTTTGCCAATGATGCACTCAAAGCTCAGGTTCAGGACTTGTAAGTAGGCAATCTTCTGTTATTAAGGGCTTGGAGGCCAAGAAAGAGAAAGTAGAGGATGAGGTCAAGAAGTCCAAGAAAGAGCTCGGGTTGAAGACTGACAACTTACTTCAAGTTCGCAAAGAAACCCATGAGGCTCTCCAGTCTTTTGAGGCTATGAAGAGAGAATATAATGTCTTGGGCGAGGTAAATGACACTCTGCGGGTAGAGATTAAGGCGGAGAGGGCTGCCATAAAAAAGAAGGATGCCCTAATCACCAAGTTGGAGTATGAAGCTGCCACCAATTGGGCTACTAGCTATATCGCTTTTCAAGATCAAGCTATGCAGGCGTACCCAGGCCTAAATTTTGTGTTTGATCCCCCTTCAGATAAGGAGAAGGAGGCGCCAAGAGTTGAGAATGAAGCAAAGGTCTTGGTTTCCCTTGTTTTTGAGCTCGTTCCTATGGGTGCTGAGGTACCACCTTCATCAGCCGAGGTCCCGGCCTCTGTAGGTACTGGGGTGTCTGTTCCACCAATTAAAGTCCCTTCTCCTACAGCTTCTTCTATTCCAGCCATTGTTTCCAACCTCCCCGATCTTCCTAAGTTGCCTGGAGCTCCTACTACTCCTTCGTCTGCTGCTATTTCTGAGGTTCTCGATCTTCCAGGGCCCCCTAAAATTTCTACTGATTTTCCTCCATCTGTTGCCTCAGAGCTTCTCGAGCTGCCTGGAGTGATTCTAGATCTAATTGCCGGTACTTAGGACCTATGTTCATAATTTGCTTGTTGTTGATTTTTTTTAAGAAAAGAACTTTGAAACCAGCTCTTTATAAGAAAATAAAGAAGTGTTTTTGTCTTGTTTGTGTCCTTGTATTCTTCTGACTATTGTGGTGCTCTTGCATGGTGCCCTTGTATTCTTTTGACTGTTGTGGTGCTCTTGTATTCTTTTGATTGTTGTGTTCTTCCATTCTGCCTATTCCCCTTTTCCCCTACTTCGAGGAGAACTTAGTTCTTCTTAAAATGAATTTGCTAAGTTTGGATGAGTTGAATAGCTGAAGAGCTGAAGAACTATAGAGTTGAGTGGTTGAGGCCTTAACTTTGGAGGGCTCATTCCTATGAGCTGAGAAGCCTGTGAGCTGAAGTGTCTATCTTTATGAGCCGATGAACCTAATATTCCCTCGAGTTGTGGGGAGCTCAGCCTTGGCAAACAAGTAGGTTTATTCTTGGAGAGCTCACCTTCATGAGCTGAAGAGTTCAGCCTACTTTTCACATGGGAGCTTTTTCCCTAGTTATTTCTGTCGCTTTACCTAAGCTCTGCTTATATTAGGCTGAAGAGCACATCCTCAGGCAGACCTGAGCTGCTTTTGTCTGAGCTAATCTTATCAAAGTTAAGCTACTTGTCTGAGCTCTATCTTATCAGAGCTGAGCTGCTTGTCTGAGCTGAGCTATTCTATCTAATCTGAGCTGAGCTGATCGTTATTTGTGCCCAACTACTTTCTTAAAATACCTCTACCATAATGATTATGGAAACGCCACATATTCGTTTTCGTGCATTTTTTGCCCCTTAAAATTTGGGATTCCCTACTATTTTTGTAAGCTTTAGGACTCCTTATTGTCTACGAAATTTGGTGTTTCTTCTTCATTGTTCAACATTCTTTTTGAGTTTTCCTTTTTTTCTTTCGGTTTACATGGCTCTCTTTCTTACTTCCTTGCTCAAACAGTGAGCCTAAGCTATGGTGAACATGGTGTGGTACTCATAGCTAGATGGAATTAAGAAGCGGTTCCTTCTACTTGCTGACTTACCCCTCGAGTCCCTACTCCTAACGAGCCTTGCAATTATCGCCCCCACAAGAAACTTGTTTTTCAAAGGCACTTTCGAGATGGGCCTTCGTCTACCCATCTATCCTTCCATTAGATGGATTCTAGCCTACATTGAGTTATGTCCCTCTTGTCTTTCTCCAGAAGGATGGGGTGCTATGATAAGTTTTTTTATTTTTTGGCATTTGCAAGGCAATGATGAGTTTCCTGTTGTTGCCGAGCTTCTCTACTTTTAGGAACTTGGACTACGACATGCCCCCTACGTTAGCCATTTTATATGGAGACGTCACTTTGACCCTCCAGTGGTTCTTGATTTCCTGAATTCTCCTGAAGGTTGGAATCAATGCTTTTGCTTCATTTTTGGGGACTCCTGGAGGTCTGCTGAGCAGTAATGCGCATGTTCCTGAGTTTCTCGCTCTTGGGGGCCTTCTTCTAGTAGAGGTAGAGTCCTAGAATCTGTTCTTCCATAATTTGTGAGGACTTTGATTGGTTCTAACTGTGTTGTTTATTTTGTGTAGATGCCCCCAGTTATTTGACCTTAGCTGAGATGGTAATAGTTAGTCAAGTGGCTCATGTTGAGCCTATTCTCTTTTTAGTGCTTGTTACGCCGCAGAACCTCTTTTGGTTTAGTGCTACTACTGCTACCCTGGATGCTACCTTACACCCTCTTTCCCCTAACCCTAAAGAGGATTCTTCTTCTGTAGAGTCAGAGGATGAGGTTGTTGCTACTTCTTCGAGGAAACACGGAAGGGGTAGCGCACGTCGCAATTATCAGGCTCTTTTTTTGGTGAGATTGATTTTACAACCACGGAGATAAATCTTGCTTTTGAGAATTCGAACCTCAAGGACCAGCTTTCTGAAATGAAGAGGGAATGGAACGAGCTGAAGGTAGAGAATGCTTGGCTGCGGTCTACAAATGCTCAACATGAGGAGGAAGTATCAGAGAGAGGGGGTCTGGGGTTGCTTAGGATGCCTTTTTTTTTTGTTTTATCTGGCAAAACTAATGAATAAAAGTTATTTTTTTCCACTCAATGCCTTGCTCTGTTAATTTTGATAACTGGAATGTTTAGGCATTCTTACAAGAATTCACTGAAAAAATTTCTTCAAATGTTTAGCTTTCCAAGAGTGAGGTAAGATTTTTCCCTCCTCCGTTTGCAACTCGTAATTCGCGGGTCTGATTATCTTCAAAATAATGTAAGGACATTCCTAGTTGTGACCTAGATTTCCATGAGTGGGATCCTTTTTCGCAGGAAGGAGTTTTATGAGTATCAGATCTCTGACTTTAAAGCTCCTGTGTCTGACCCTCCTATTGTAGTATCTTGTTATTTTCCTTTGGTAACTCACGATACGATGCAAAGCCACATCCCTCTTTTCATCCAAGAGGTCGAGATTTAGTAGAAGTGACTTTTCATTATGCTCGGGCTCTAAGAACTCAGCCCTGGGGGATGGAATGGAGACCTCTACGAGTGCCACTACTTCGGTTCCAAATGCTAAAGCGAATGGTGTTTCCTAAGTCGTTAATCTGGCAGTGGTTCTATAAGCCCACAATACTTCTGCGATGTGTTCTACCCATTTCCCTTTCAGAGCTTCTTGCTTGGTATTCAAAGCTACTTTTTCGGTTTGGATGGTCACTTCTACTCACCTATTGGATTGAGGATAAGTTGGAGTTGAGAAGTAATTCTTTATTCTTAGCTCGGTATAGAACTTTTTGAACTTGGGATTATCAAATTGCTTCCCATTGTCGAAGGCAATTGCCCCAGGTATTCCAAACCTATAGATTATAGATTTTCAAGTGAAGTTTTGAACTTTTTGTTATGTGATTGTTGCCAAGGGCTCCACCTCTGCCCATTTGTGAAGTAATCCATCCCAATAATGACGAACTTGCAGTGTCCAGTACTAATGAGAAGGGGCCCAAGTATGTCCAAACCCTATTGTTGGAAAGGCCAAGGGCTTACCACTGAGGTTAGGAGCTCTGGTGGACAATGAAAGACGTTGACGTGTACCTGGTAGACCTTACATCATTTGATTTCATCTATAGCGTCTTTGAGTATAATGGGCCAGAAGTACCTTTCTTGCCAGAGCTCGAGCGTCGATATTGTTGTTGCAAATCTCCTCGTGGATTTTCGTGAGTATGTAATTAGCATCCTCGTCTCCTATGCATTTAAGGAGTGGTTTTGAAAAGTCTCACTTATACATGTTTCCTTGTAGGATTGCGAATCTGGATGACCTAGCTCTTAGCTTCGCGACCTCTTTGGGATCTTCTGGCAAGGTTCCATTCTAAAGATATTCTCTGATTGGGTCCATCCAACTCGGTGAGGCCAATACAAGGAGTTCCTTTTCATCTTCATGGTTAACAGATAGTTCAGCTAGGTGTTCAATTGGGATTAATCTATCCAAGCTCTCTTGGGGAGTTGTAGCAAGCCTTGTCAGAGCGTCCGCTCAGAAGTTCTCAGCTCTGAGGACATGCTCATTTTAACTTGCACGAACTTTTTAATCAATTCTTACACCTTTTTAAGGTACAAGATCATTCTTTTTCCCTTAGCCTCATAAGGTTCCTCAATCTTCTTTACTATAATCTGGGTGTCACTACAAATTTTGAGCTATTTTCCCTCCATTGAATGTGCCAAATTTATCCCAGTGATGACGACTTTGTACTCTACCTCATTGTTTGAAGCTTTGAATCCAAACTTGAGCACGTATTCGATGTCTATGTCGTTAGGGGAGGTCAAGATCAATCCTGCACCGCTTCCATAGGCGTTAACAACTCCATCCACTAAAAGCTTCCATGTAGGGAGGTTGGGTACTAGCTAGTTGGTTTTTGTGGATGTTTCTAGACCTGTGGTGAATTCTGCAATGAAATCTGCCAGTACTTGTGCTTTAACTGCGGTCCTGGGTTTGTACCTAATATCGAATTCATTGAGTTCTATTGCCCATTTGAGCAACCTTCCAGAGGACTCTAGGTTATGCAACACTTGTCTCATCGGCTGGTCTGTAGGAATTTCAATGGTATGAGACTGGAAATAAGGCCTAGTCTCCTTGTAGCCATGACCAGAGCTAAGACTAGTTTCTCTATCTTCAGGTATCTTTCCTCCACGCCCCTCTTAGAGCTCTACTATAATAATAGACTGGCCGCTGAGCTCTATCTTGTTCTTTGACAAGTGCTACACTGGTTGAGAAGTCTAAAATAACAAGATATAGGGTTAGTACCTCTCCTTGCCTCGGGCTTACCAAAATTAGGTGCTAAGATAGTCCTTGAGGGCCTTGAATGCCTTCTCTCATTGCGTATTCCAAAATTAGGTGTTTATTTTTTCAAAGGCGGATGCAAAGTTAATGTTGACAAAGCTCCCGTTGTCGATGAAGACCTGATGAACGGTCCTATTAGCAACGAAAGCTTTTACCACCAAGTGATCATCATGGGGGTGCTGGTACCCCTCCAGGTCTGCATATGAGAAAGTGGTGTCCATGTTCATTCGAGGTGCCTTGGTCACAATCTGCACCTCCAATATTTCCTCGGTCCTAACCTTGTTCATGTGGGCTTTTCTAGTTGAGCTAGTTTTCCCACCACCAGTAATCCTCTAGAAATCATCTTGATCTCTCCCACTGGTTGCTAGTGTTGTGTAGGAGTTTGCTGCTGAGGTGCTAGATGAGGGTGAGCTCTGTTCTGATTATCATGCGTCACAAAGCGGCGTAGCTGCCCTTGTTGGATCAAGAAATCAATTTTCTTTTTCAACTGGATGTAATCATTAGTGAGGTGTTCATGGTCTCTATGTTACTCACAATACTTTGTCATATCTCTTTTGTTAGGTCTTCTTACATCCGAGGTGGCCAACTCAGAATTTTCTTATTCTGTGCTTCATAAAGGATCTGGGATATCATAGCTGTGAGGGTAGTGTGTACTTTTCTACCTTAACCTCCGCCATACTAGCTTGTAGGTTTTTAGATATGGAGAACATTAAGTCCTTCGACTATACTCCTAACCCCGCGATGAAAGCAGTGATGACGAATTTTTCATCTAGAACGTCCATTTTCAGTGATTTTCAGTTGAACCTTTAAACATAAGACTGTAGGTTCTTGTTGGGTCCTTGTTTCACATTCAACAAATGGTAGCTCGATTCTTGATGGGTCTGAGCTCCTATGAAGTGTGACACAAAGGATATGGAGAGTTCTCTGAAAGAAGAGATGGACATCGGGGCTAGCCTGTTCAATCACGCTAAAGTTGAGCCCTTCAATGTGATGGTGAAGGCTCGGCATCGTATAGGGTCTTGATATTCGTGAAACTCTATTTAGTTCTTGTAGGTGTTGAGGTGATCCATGAGATCTTTTATCCCATCAAAGGCCTCCATATGGGGCATTCTGAACTTCAGCAATGAATGGGGACTCAATCTTGCTGCACCAGGGCGTCCATGGTTATTAGGGTCTTACCTTTCACGGCCTCATTCATCTGGCTGAGTTCTTGCTGGATGTCTCTGAAACGCTATTCCCAATATTGTTCTCTTCTTTTCTGCTGGAAAGAGAGAAATTTTTTTTATCAGTTCCCCCATTTTGACTATGTACTTCTTTTTTTCTTCATTCATGGGAGGTGGATGAGGAGCATGACCCACGACTTGGCTATGTTCACCCCCTTCGTTAACCTCCTTTAGGGGATCAAGGCATTTGTGTTCCCCTTCTAGGGGATCATTCTAGGCTGGACGTGTCTTCTGAGGACATTATAGGAGCTTCAAGAGTTATTTGTTCTATTGTAGTAGACGTTGGTTGACTAGGCAAAGAACCTCCAATTCATTATTCGGAGGGAGGTCCGCCATGGGAGGATTAGTCTTAGTGGTGGGAAGAAAGTCTTGAAGATTTTCTTGTTGTCTTCCACTGGTGGCTTCTTGCTAGTTTTGTAACCGCTGAGGATTCAATTGGCTTCTACTCATATTGCACGCAGAGACCATCAATTACTGAAGAAAATTAGTATATTTGTAACAGGAATAGTCGATTCCCACAGACAGCGCCAACTTCTGGTGTGTAAAGAGAGATTGAGCATAATAAGTATTCTAAGGGATTTGATCTGAGCTATAAGGTTCTTGGGAATAATGTGACAACTTTAAGGGAATGGGGTAGATTGCGCAGATGAGTTATAGTGGTTCACCAGCTCGGAAGCTCTGCTAATCAACACTCTTCAAGAGAGTTTCTTGCTCTTGGAAATTATATTGAAGAAGATGATGAGATTACACAGTCTTCTTTGTATTGTATCGATTCTTTTTTCCAAAGTGATTACTTTGTACAGTATTTATAGCTTAGTTCCTAGTTCCATGGGGTCTGGGGCGAGATCTTCGCCTCCTTCTTGTAACGCTTTGCTTGATTTCAGGCGATGGTTTAGTTGGTTGAGGTTCTTGCGCCTAGACTGGCATTTACTGCCGTTGAGGGGGCATTTAGTGGTTGCCAGCCATCTTCCACTCAGTTTCTTTGAGGCACATGTCGACAGAGCCCAAGGTTTGAACCTTTGAGCTCGATCTTTCTTGGCTGAGCTCTCTTCCTAACCTCAATAATCTGAAATTTTTCTAAGTATCATCATAACTTAATTTAAAAAATTATAATTTTTAGTACCATACCACTGGCGGTACCATAATTTGTCCTTTAACATATAGATACTAAGATTGTAGATAGGTTAAGCATACCATTAACTGGATCGTACGTTCCAAAATGATGTGAATTGATGATCCTGATCACCCAAACTACTGTCCCCATATGTAACTTAAATCTAAAGTCCACGAGAGAACCATGCACACCAAGACTTCAATTCTAATCTCAAATCATAACACTAATTGATTATTTATTTACTTCATGATCTTTAAACTTATACTTGGATTTTACAAATTAATTGGAACTTTATTTGGGATTATGGTTTTTTTGGAGCTCTTTTTAAAAAATATAATATAATTATTTTTTAAATATGTGTACATTGATGTATTATTAGGTACAATTTCATTTGATAAAGAAAACGATCTGGATAAGAACTAGAAAATGAA